AAAATTTTTGGCTTAAGGATCTTACAAATTTCTAAAATTTTCGCCTGCGGTGTGAAAAAGGAAGAAATTTTGCTCGGCCTAAAAAGTTGACTCGGGGTTTTCAAACTCGGCATTACTCGAACTCGGTTTTTTCCCAATTACTCGGTACTCGACGTACTCTAATTGAAACGTTCAAATTTAAAACCCTCAATAAGAGAAAATACGGTATACATACGAGGATTTTATCGCATATTTTGCAATATATATTACAAACATCCTTGTCAGCTTTAACTATTTCATATCTATCATTGCTTGGATCTAGAAACTCAATCCATTGACGGCCTAATTTTTAAAATAATTTTAATTAAAGATTTTATTTGGGACTGGGACATTAGGCGCGGCCATTAGGACGACTCCAGATATGGAGTTCCGAACATTGGGGAAGTTGTTCCGTACACTAGGTTCCGAACACTAACTTCCTCCGTCTTGAACAGAACTCGTGAAGTTGGTCCGGGAAGTGTTCCAAGTTGTCTCGAAACGGGTGAAGTTGTTCCGTGAACGGAAACAATTAAATTTTCACTGTGTTCTGAACTCCAGATACGGAGTTCAGAACACTGGGGAAGTTGTTCAGTACAATAGGTTTCGAACACCAACTTCCACCGTTTGAACAGAACTTGTAATGTTGGTCCGTCAACGGAGGAAATGTTTCAAGTTGTTCCGAGAACGGGAACAATTAAATTTTCACTGTGGCTCGAAAACGACCCTAGTAGCGGCGCCCTAACGATCCCAATCCTTTTGTTTGATTAATTAATTACAATCTTTTCCATAATAATTTTTCTGCCTAGCTTCTTCGACTTTAAAATGTTGTTCACCATAAGGGTCAATATTTTGTTGAGGCATTTGTTGTTGAGAAAAGAATGGATTATTTCCAAAACTAGCTTCCAAACCTTGAAGATTCGGAGGAATATTGAAATTAATTTCACCCTGAGAGCTAGGAAAATTTGAACTAGCAATGTCATGTTCGCCTGTTCCAGTGCCGGTTCCAATGCCTGTATTGCTTCCTTCAACATCTCGATATTCGTAAATATCTGGCCTTTGCCTTTCTTCAGTTGGATTTTCCTGTCCTTGATTAGCACCTCTACCTGCTTTTCCTCTTTTACGGGGAGGACAAATAATTGGTGAAATAATACAACAAAGCAGTAAAGCTTTTGAAATTTTCATAGATTTAGTTTATTTTTCTATAGAAAAATTACTTTTTAATTAAACAAATTTTGTTTAGTAAATTGCTTATCGTATTTCCTAAAATAAAGCCCCATGGGGCTCTATTTTTCAACTATTTTTAAATTATAGGTTGACTTTTTTTAAATTAGTAATCAAAATTTTATCACAAGAACATTGATATCGCATGAAAAAACTTAAATTAATAATTTTTCCACTTTAATTATTCAACTTTTAAGTATGTTCATTTTACCTGTGGAAGTGAACTAAATAATAAATACGTTTGGCACAGCCGTTTTTGAAACCGGAATTTTTGAAAATCAGTGATTTTATTATAAATTCCCACAAAATAAAACCGGTAGTTGTATAAAACTCAAACCCAAAACCGGGTATTTTAAAATTGTATTACCCAAAAACCGAGGTCTGTCTGTATCCATATAAATCTGTATACAAATCCGTATCCTGCTCATGGATACGGATATGGATACAGATAACTATCAAAATGCCTGCATCTAAATATCCGGATACGGATACCAAGATCAGTATCCGTGAGCATGTCTGTTTAAAGTAATCAGTTTTAAAAATTGCAGTTTATTTGACTAATAAGAGCAATCAAGCATCACACCGACTCCTGCATATTTTTGGGAATTAAATTACTTTATTTTTTTATATTTAGATTACTATATTAATTATATTTAAATTATAATGTGGAAATATTATTTAAAATTAAATTTTGATTTTAATAATTTTTTTATAAAAAATGAATAAATTTTATAAAAATTTTGTATTTTATAAACTATTGAGTGAGAGACATTAGCTTTTTGAAAATTTTTTTAATGATTTTAAAGGTTGGAAATTAGTTCAATGACACGTAAATGTTAAAGAATTAAGTATTTATGAGAGTATTAGAGATTTATATTAAAATTAAATTTGAGACGTTAACTTTGCACTTTTAATTAGAGTTGGAAAAGACGAGACCGATACCGAGATTCTCGGCTTACATTCAAGTTTGGGGATTAAGAGATATCTGAATGTTGGGGACTTGAAAAATATTTGTATTGAAGGCAAATATGGATAAAATTTATTTGGCATTATCAATCGAATCTGATCCAGATGATGAAGAGTATTTATCTGATGATTTGGATGATGAAAATAATGAATAAATAATTTTTACACGTATTTTCTGATATAAAATAAAAATTTCTGTTAGTCTCGGTCAGTATCATTTCACGGTATCGGCTCAAAATGAAGATATCGGTCTCGTTATCGTGTTCTTGAGTATCGGTCAATCTCGGTATCGGGCTGGCCGATACCAGTATTGTTTTTTCAAACTCTAGTCAAAACACCTACCATAAAAAATCATTCACTAAATGTCTCTTATTTTAATCAAAGGGTATTACAAATACCTATTATGATTAAGAGTGCAAAGCTAACGTCTCAAATTTAATTTTAATATAAATCTCTAATACTCTCATAAATACTTCCATAATTCTTTAACATTTACGTGTCATTGAACTAATTTCCAACCTTTAAAATCATTAAAAAAAATTTTTAAATCGCTAATGTCTTTCACTCCAAGAGTGCTATTTTTCAACCCTCCTCCTATTATTAACCTCGTGCAACACTATTACAAATAATAAGAGGTTGAAAAATAGCACTCTTGGAGTACTATTTCAAGAATACGGTATTTATATGTAAATAATGAATTAAATTTTAAACAAATTAAGTATTTTAATACTAAACTATTGAGTGAAAGACATTAGCTTTTTGAAAAATTTTTTAATGATTTTAAAGGTTGGAAATTAGTTCAATGACACGTAAATGTTAAAGAATTAAGTATTTATGAGAGTATTAGAGATTTATATTAAAATTAAATTTGAGAAAACTTTTAAGGCTCTATTAAACTTTTAAGGCTCTATTAACTTGAAAAGACCTCTAAACGGTAAAACAGTGTTTTTTTTATTATTTCATCATAACCTGATTGCAAAAAATAAAAAAAACATCTCAAATAATTATCATGTGTAATTTAGAACATGCAGATATAACCGTTTTTCTCAAAAGTTCAGTCTTTATTTAAGTTTTCAAATAACCGATGTTATTATGGTGTTATACACAGACCTGCACATGGACTCGGATTTTGCTATCCTTGTCCGTATATATCTGTGGAGCAAATATCCGTATTTGTTTATATCCGTGCAACTTCGAGTCATATCCATCAGTGGGTACCCGCGGATATATCCGTCTAATTAAAATGGCCAACATGACCAAAATGCTCGAAATGGTCAAATTATTTTCAATTTGAGCAATTCTAAGGCGATGAATTAATAACTGCATTGCAGTATACAACCAAATCAGAACACAGAATCATTTTGAGTACCGCGGTACTACCGAAAATATTTCTTGGGTACTTTTCGGTATCAGTAATTTGGGTCCACCGGTACGGGTAACGACAGTTCTTGACATTATCGGAACGATTTTGACTAAACAAATTAAAATGAATATATTTATGCTTAAAATCCCAAATTTAAATATAAAATCACATGAATTGTATGTTAGTTTTTAAATGAATTAAAAATATGCGAAACATTTTCAGCAAGTGTTTGGAAATTTTAATCTTGTAAAATATTGACTGTTAAATTTTTTTTTAATTTTGACCCGTATATAGACTCGATTTTGGCACGAATTTCCAAACGATGGTTGACCCTACATTTCCGGCTTGACCCTACATTGACACTACATATGTTTCTTTAGTTTCTTTTTTTAGAATTTTTTTTCGTTGTATAAATTTTAAAATAGGCATGGGCCGGAAATGTCTGTAGCAAGTGAGTCGGTTAGCCTTTAAACCCTTTTGTTAAATAACTAAAAAATTTTAAAAGCATATAAAATCCTTCGTCTTTCACTTAAAGCCAAATAATCTTCAATCAGAATCGCTTGAAACTTCAATTACTTTTTCTTTTCCCTTTTTAGATTGTTCCCCTTGATCTAAAATATTTTTAATAAATATTTTATGGATAAATTATTTATGAATTAAAATTACTATTATCTAATATACACAAATTTATTTTTTTCTTTACCTCGTATTAATGGGCCTCCTCGACCCCGAGGCATTTCACGACCAGACTCTTCAATAGCCTTTTGTGTATCTTGTTCATATTGAGCTGTTAATTTACATTATTAACTTTTATTGTTAAATAAATTATTGTATTTTTATTACCGTCGGGCAAATATAGATCATGATGCTCGTAGAATGATGGATCATGATGAACATAACCTTGTGATGCAGGAACAACATCTTTTTTTAAATAAGTTACATTAAAGATTCTTAAAATTTCCTTAATTTTTTTTGCCCTTACAAAGGAGAGGCTTTTGGATGTCCGTGGGACTTCGGGATGAAATTTGGTAGACAGGTAGATCATACCCTTTCTATTGTCTTTTTCTAAACCTTTGGCTCTATCTGAAATGAGTTGCTAATCATTCATTTTTACTTCTTCCTTTCACAAGGTCAAAACGGTAAATTTTTCCTTAGTATTCCTTTCACAAATGCGAATTTACCGTGATTGAACAATTTTGGACAGGATTATGTTAGGTTGTTTTAGCTCCTTACCTATGGTCTCCGTGAATTTTTGCTGCTGCGGAGAAGATAGGATTGCCTATAGCCGCTAAGATATTAATAGATAGGAATCTAAAAATCTCCGCAGCAGTAAAAACTCCACAGATACCATAGGCAAGAAGCTGAAACAATCTATCATAATTTTGTTCAAAATTGTTCAATCACTGTGAATTGATATTTGTGAAAGGCAAAATCAACATACATCGAATGCTAAGGAAAAATTTACCATTTTGATCTTGTGAAAGGAAGGAGAAAAAATATTCACCTCATTCCGGATGGATGAAACCCTAATCTTAACTATCTTAATTGTCGAATTAGAAAAAAATGCTGAGGAATAAAAATAAATACTATTTCCGAAAATATAAGGATACCAATAAATAAAAATTTGGACGGAAATCGAGAATATCATAAGATTTATAGGGATTTAAGTGGTTATTTGTATATCGGAGTATTAAAGGAGATAAGGCTGAATTTGTATGATCAAAGGGGACACAATGGTGTCTGGTATTGAAGTATATTGATATTAGGTTGGTGGGTTACAAATAAATTCTAAGAGACGGACTCTTGGTTTTTCTTGAACCAAGATTTTCTGGTTCTTTGGTGGGCCGCAGCGTTAGGCTGGGCGGTAGTGCGTTGAATAATAAAATTTATATGGGGCATTATTGCTACATTATATTGCCTTTATTATAATTATACAAACATACCTTCATCGTGATCTGGCCCAAAAAGTTCGTTATATATCTCCTCTAATGACTTATGTTCCTATTATGAATTCATAATTAAATATTAAGTTTCAATAAAATTTTAAAATTTAAAAGATGAATATGCATCGGTAAATATTTACCGGGGACATATCACAATTGATTAGGCGCATAAAAATTTGCTTAGCTGTTCCGGTAATCTTCTGCTTCATTGGTTACCTACTATCAGTAGTATATACTCCAGTTTTAAAACACTTTTTCAATAATTTTCAAAAAAAAGTGTTTTAAAACCGGAGTATGAGAGTTTAATTACTCTTAACTATTTTAAGGAACCTAATCCTAAAGACCATTTATTTATTTCCCAAATTTTTTAAAAATATTCATTCAACATAGTAATTATTAAATTGGAAACCCATAAGTCAATAGATTTGTTATATTTCTTTTGTGCGCATTTGCGCGTAAAATAATTGTCTTTTTCTATTTTGAAAAAATATAAGTAATTAAGATAGAAACAAAATTTTTCTCATTTTCTTCAATAAATTTAATTTTTCATCTTTTAAAAATTGTGTGGGTTGATATAATTTGCGAGACTAATGATTTTGGGAAGTTTAATATTTAAATGATACCAAGATTGCTATACACCTTAAGCCTATACTGATAATTTAAAATATTTAAAAAACTTTTCAGTTAATTATTTGCCTATACTTTTTAAAAATACATCTCCATAAAATCATTTTTTACAAAAAACAAATTATTTTGGTCTTAAGAAAGTGAAAAGATGAATCGGAAAGCAATTATAGAAATTGCGACATTTTAGTATATAGTTGAAAAATTAAGGTAAAAACCTTGCAAAACAAAATGCGCAAAAGCAATTATCTAGGAAGAAATGAAAAAAGCCTTATAAAATAATTACTTTTATTTTAAATAAAAAATATATTTTCGTTTGTGACTTTTTAAATAATTTTTATATTAAATAAAAATATTTCAATAATTAATTTAAAAAAAGAAAGTTTAATCTATATTTACCTTTAAAATACACATTATGAAATTGAATATACCGCAAAAGCGTGGCTTATCGATCCTTTTAAGTTTGTAATCTTTACAGCAATTGATATTGTAATATCTTATATCTTTCCATGAAATACTTTACCCTTAAAATAATTTATATAAAATACTTGTCTATTTTTTAAGTAAAAGACAAGTAAATCGAAAAAAAGTAATTACCAAAAGTAATTATTTTGTTACTTAAATTTTCTTCAACAGGAGCGCGCAAAACAATTATTTCCATGAAAATTAAAAATTTTGTAATAAACAAAATGAAAATTTTGTTTTCTTCTTTTCAAAAAGAAAATTTTATCTACTTATTTTAAAAAATATTTTAATTTTTATTTTCTATCATTTTTCTTTTTTATCTATATAATTTTACAAAAATTTTTATTTCTATCGAGCGCAGTAACTAATTACCCAAAAAATTAAATCAGAATCTTCTTTCAAAAAAGAACGAAGCAATTATCTAAAAATGATGTTTTATTTTTAACAATGAAACTATTTTTACCGCGCGAAGCAATTACCAAAAAATATTATTTTAAAGAAAGTTAATGCGCGACGCACGTATACAAAAATTGATGTTTTATATTTTACAAGAAACAAATGTTTATTACCTAAACAAATATAAAATTTTTTAGATTTTATATATTTGCAAAATTTTATAAAAATTTTTAGAAATGTTAAGTTAAATTAAAAATTATAAAGTAGTTATACTTCGACTTATTAAATAGTTTTCACGCTTTTTCAAAGGGGGTTAAATGTTGTAATTACTCATACCTCGAAAATTCCAAGACTCTTGGTCTCGATTCTTGACTTGAGACTTTTCTTGGGTTTTTTCGGTCTTGGTCTTGGTGTGAAATCTCGTTCTTGAGTCTTGGAAAATTTTGAATCTTGTAAGATAAAATGTGGTCCTATGGGTTTATATTGTGATTTATTAAACAATTAAAAAATGAGGGAGGAGAAACAAAGTTATATGAATGAAAAATTTAAGGAAAATTGATTTTTAATATTTTTTTGAGATTTTATATTTTTATCATTTTTTTGAGATTTTATATTTTTATTATTTTTTGTATTTTTTATTTTTAATGTATATACACTGGTGGGGTTATTATTCTATATAGGAATTAGTTTCCGACCTAAAAACAATGTTAATTTTGCGGATTCAATGACAAATGATTTGATAGCAACAACGATATCTGAGCATGTATCTTTTATAAATAACCAAGCAGAAGAAAACACACTTGGTTCGTGATACACTACTGTAAATGTTGGTTTGTATACCTGTTTCCATTCTTTCTCTTTCTCATCGTAAATAAACCATACATGACCAGTCGGGGTCCAAGTTATATTTGTAAAATTTGGTTGAGGGGGTAAATGTAAAATGTGATTGAAACTGCTTGGTCTGGGTGTTCTTCGAAATAATGATACTTTAGCTTCCTCGACTTTCCATATTCTTCGATATTCACAGTACACATACCCAAAAAGAAAAATAAGTAAAATTTTATCGATCATTTTTTATTAACAATATAACGAATAATTATCACTTATATATTTTCACAAATTTTCTGATTGTTCAACTGCTTCCAATACATCTATACATTCAATTGGGTAAAAATATTGATGTCTTCTTCCTCCAGCAACACAAATAAGTGGTAATTGTGGATACGCAAGATCAATTCGGTGTCGAACATAAAAATATTGTCTTATTGTAACACGTAAGTATCCACGTAGAGCAAATATCTGATCAGCCCCCATCTTTGTTAACTTGCTTGGATATATTTCCATCTGTTGATGCTTTAGATGATTTGTAATTAGAGCCTTTTTTCTAGGTTCAGTAAAATTTCTTTGACCAATTCCTGCAATGGCTACATCGTCATTAGTCATGTTTGTAAGAGTTTGCAAGTAATTGTTATTTTCATTATATTTTTTTCGTAGTTCGCGATGAAGTGATTCTGGGGCACATCCTCCATTGAAACGACAAAGTACTTGGATAAGTGGTGTTAATTGAACGTGTGGCGAAGAACTAATAGATTCAGGCATGTTGTCGCTAGTACGCATGGCAAACTATTTAGAATAAAAAATATTGCTCTTATATACTAAGAGGGCCTTTGGAAAATCGAATACTTGTCATCCCATCATTCCCTTTTTTACGGATATTTGTATGTAGTCTAAATAATACAGCCAGGACAAATAATAAACCTAAATCCAAAATATATGCTAAGACAAGCAGTATATCCTTGTTTGGAGATATAGCAGGCCCAATAGAAAGCGCATGTCCTCCGTCAATAGCAAAACAAGCATTTACATTCGGAGGAATCGGGCCGTGCAATGGAAAGAAAATATTACTGTCATTTTGAGATAATATAACACAAGATAGTGAAAATAGTATTAAAATTGAATATATCATTTTATTAATTAAATTAATATATTGACCTTTATCTTATATACGAAAGGCGCTGAATGAATCGTCTTAATAAAGCGTCACGGGCTTCTGGGGGAATTGAATGCAATTTTTGTAGTGTTGATGAAAAATTGTTCTTTGAACGCAATATTAAAAAATAAATACAATAATGGCCACAAGTATCTGATAGAGGGGATTGCAAAGGAAATTTATTTTGTTTTACTTTTGAAAAATTACCCAGCATAGATTGTCTCATGTCACAATTCGGTTCATCTGCAAAAGAGTCAAAGTATTCCAAAGTACTCGGATTATCAGAATAACAAGCAACCCAATGTTCACCAACCGTCCCTTTACGCATATTATTTACAATAAAACAAAAAGACTTAGTCCATTTTTTATTTGGGATATTGTCAGAAGAAAAGACACCAATAAACTTATTTTTTAGAGGTTTATATTTTTTAAGTAGATTTTCGATTTGGAGAGAATTCATTTTAAACAGAACCATCAGTACTCAACACACGATCTGCATTTATGGACATTATTGCATCGAATTCGCCCATGATTATCATTTCATATCCCTCATCCTTTACAGGCTGATTGAACATACAACGAACGGTTGTTGTTCCTTGTCTAATGAGTTCTAGCCCATTAGTATCCTCAAGCGTTGAAGTCATAGGTATAACAAAGAAACAAGATGACTGTGAAAATTCTTTCATTCCTATGCTTAAAGTTCTTTGATCTGAATTTGGCCAAGCATCTAAGTCCATACCTACATACATATCAACAAATGCACGTACAAAGCTGTCGTTGGAAAAATCAAGATCATAAGGAACAGCTGGAAACTGGAAGCCACCAAATTCTGCTGAAACAGTTCGCAAGTTCGCATGCTCAAAATTGAACGGAGACAACGCAGTATTTCCAGTATATGCAGGCGCGCTTACAAAACAAATCACTAAACGCCTCGGACACGTACTTGTGAATGCCGCATGTGTAATTTCCTGTCGACCTTTTCCAAGAAAAACACTCCGAATTTCAATCTTTCTATAGGCATATTTTGCAGGCGCCTGTTCTAAATGTCGGGCAATGGCATTATTTAATGACATACTTAAATCAACTTGTTTAACAAAAATTCTCATATCATGAAGTCGTAATCTGTATGTGTTTGTATTATTTAATAATTCTTCACCAGCTTTTTTACGATATTTTGGTGCATGAATAAGGAATTCATCGCTATTTCTGTAAAATGTCCAGAGCACATCACTATTAGGTATCAAAAGCTGATTTTGTCTAGCCATATCATAGTCCAAATGTGAGAGTAATCTGCAAGTCTGACCTTTGGCAAATCTTGATGCTCGTGATTTGAACCCTGAACCTTCAAAATCGTTTTTGTCAGCTGCATCTTTATAATAAAGTGCAGCCTCATAGAGACCTTTGCTAACCTCACGATCTGCTCCAAGTTCATGAAGAAGTAGACATCTGTATGCATAATGTATTCCTGAGTCATAGCATTGAATACCATTAATAGAGAGAGTTAAACGACGAATCCAAGTTAAACCTAAATATTGAGCAACACTCGTAAAACTATCACCTGCAAAATTCCCTGCCAAGTCTTTTACAATGGGGACCCATTCGCCGGTTGCATCAACTCTACGTTCAAGAGATAATACAAGACTCAGATATGTCTTACTCAAATCTAAGTAGAGTGAGTCACCAAAATACCGGAAAATAAAAGGACCTGCAGATTGATTAAGTGCATTGAGGGGAAGCAATTCTTTGTATGCGGACCTTTGAATACCAACATTTGTTGATGGTATACTAAAGAAAGTTAGTCGATTATCAACCCCTTCAGTACTGTCTTTATCAATTTTCTTTATTGTCGTCATTTTTATTAACGAATAATAATATACTAATACTTATATACTCAGAAATCATCAAAGCTTAGTTGGTCTCTATATCGTCTACGTTTCTTTCCTAAATTATTTATAATAACATTTTGTTTTTTCTTCCGGCTTCTTTTGCCTTTCCCACATTGTTCAAGTTTTTTCCCTACTTTTTGAAGACCTTCGCTTCCATGCTGTTTCAATGCTTCACTTACTGAGCGACCTTGTGAGACATCTTCGAGAATATTTTTTCCAATATTTACAGCTTCATTTCCCGCAGTTGTAGCTATATTTTTAACAATAGGCATTAAAAAACGCCCTACAGCCCCAAGTACACCGAATCCTCTTTGATATCTAGTTCCTTGAAAATAACGATTATCTTCAAGTAATTTTCCACCACCGTCTTGAGCACTTAAAAAAGGCTCCCAGTCAATTTTATCTAGATCTAACTCAACGTGTGTCATTTTTTAAAATAGTGAGCGTTGAAAGTGCAATGTTAATATGCAAGTTCCCCAATGGAATTTTACTAGCTTTCCAGTTAAGGTTCGAATTTCAATAGTAATGTCTGGATGGCGTTTACCTAATAAACGATGGTGATGTTCGGTCATATATACTTCTGAAATACTTTCCCCAGGTCCACCAGATACATTAACAACACGTAATAAAGGTGCAGTTACGTTACCTATTATGCTATTTTCAACAAGTTTTGGTGCATAAACTAAAAATTGACGCACACCTCCAGATATATCAGGCATATATTTTGCAACTTGTCCACTATGAACCTTCTCAGAATCGAAACCAAGAGTATAAGCTAGTTGACGACTTAATTTAATAAATTGTACGTTTCCTTGCAAGAAGACATGGAAACGTTTATGCACTTTATCGTATAGTATGGAAACCCATTGATATTTTGGATCAGCGAGTTGTATATTGGAGAAACTAAGAAGCATTTTTAAATATTCAGGAGGATAAGCATATTCAGCTAGATGTAATTTTTTAGGCTCCGAATCATCCAACTCTTCAGATTCTTTTTGCGGATGAAAATTTTCTTGTTGTGGAAGTTCTTTGTCTTTGGTTTTATCTTCAACATGCCTACCTCCACCACCAAAGAAGCTTTTCCAAAAGGAAGGACGTTCAGGAGGGTCAGCAATTAACATTTCAGGATGCGGGAGCTCAGGCAACGAGCTTAGATCCTCAGGTTGAATTGCTACTTGTTCTGGTTCTTCTTCAATAGTGGGAAGATTACTCACTTTTTCAGCCACTTCCTCATTAATTATTGCCGGAGATTCCTGTGGCTTTCCTAAGCCTTCTTTTTCAGGAGACCATGGTTCTACAGCGTCTTCACTTATTGTTGGTAATTCATGCGACATTGAATGTGGTACAGGCTCTTCTAAGGGGGGAGTCCAAGGCTCTTCATCTTCATCATCAACTCCTGGAAATTCCTGAATCTTTTCTTTAGAAAATTCTACATGCTCCTCAGCGACTTCTTGTTCAATTTCCTCACGAGGTTCAATATTTTTCTTATCTTCGTGTGTTGTAGACTCTTGAACATTTTCCAATATTTCTTCAGAAGTTTCATCAGCGACTTCTTTTTCATGTTCTTGATGTTCAATATTTTCATCTTCTACAATTGTCGAAGGTTCTTCATCCTTTTCTTGTGTATATTCAGATGGCCTTTCAATGACGTCATCAGTTGAGTCCGCTTCCGCACTATTTTTCTCTTCGTGTGTAGAAGGCTCTTTACTGGTTTCATGTGTCTTTTCAGTCGGTCCTTTAGGCTCTTCTTCATGTTCGACTTGACTTTCATTATTTTCCTCTTCATGTGTCGAAGTCTCTTTATCATCAGGAGTTGTTATTTTTGCCGATGAAGTTTCATCGTCTTGTTTCGAAAGTTCAACTTCAATTTTGCCTACAATTTCTTCCGATAAAAGTTTCTGACCCGCAACAGCTTCTTCAACTTGACTGGCTAATTCTTTAACCTTTTGTTCTGCGGCCTTAGCACGATCTGCAGCTTTTCGTGCCTCAGTAACATCGCCTCGTGATTCTGCCGCTACAGTTTCTATTTGTGCTTCTGAAACCCTATCTTTTGCATCTAAACATTCTTGTATCCATTTATCTATTTCATTTCTTCGACTAAACAATAATTTTAATTGTGTTACAACCAATTTTAGAATGGTTGCAGGTACTTTTCTCTTAGTTACCCCCGTCTCATTTAATGTTACCTCTTCATCTAGTAGTGCATACTTATAACGAGCATCTACCCAATATTTCTGATTAAGATCTTTATTTAGTTGTGATTGTTACTTTGCCAATTCTACACTATTTGTCAATGATCTTGTAGCCGCACGAACAGCCATATCTATCAAAGTTTTTTGTTCATCTGTTAGTGTATCAGAAAGAGGTGTTATCTTTCCGTCTAAAGGAGTTTTGTCATTTTGCTTTTCGGTATCCTGTTGTATATCATCCGATTTTTCTTCAGAAGATACTGGAGCTTCAGTAGGAGCTTCTGATACAGGTGTTACTGGAGACTTTGGAATAGGAGGATCAATAGAACTATCAGATGTAGGCAAAATTTCTGTTTTTTCATTAATTTGATTTTTAACTTGAACTTGAGAAGGAGCAGGTGTATCTGTTTCATGATTTTCATCAGCATTTTCCACTAAACTTGCTTCTTGTAAAGGATTTTCAGGTTTAGTTTCAGATGGGGAAGGTGATGCAAAACTTTCTGATACAGGTGTTACTGGAGACTTTGGGATAGGAGGATCATCAGTTATAGAACTATCAGATGTAGGCAATTCTGTTTTTTCATTAATTTGATTTTTAACATGAACTTGAGAGGGAGCAGGCGTTTCAGGATTTTCATCAACATTTTCCACTAAACTTGCTTCGTGTAAAGTATTTTCAGATGGGGAAGGTGATGCAAAACTTTTAATTGCATTTATTATTATATCTTTTTGCTCAGTTTGCGGCTTTAATCGAACAACAGAGCTTTCCGGAACTGAAGATAGAACTGGAAGTTTTGCCCCCTTAATTTCTTTATTTAAATATTGAATAAATTTATAAGCACGATCTTTTGGCATATCAAAGTAACCTTCCGTTTCCAATTGTTGAATGAAACTCTCATACTCGGCAGTAGGCAATTTTTCTTTTTGTTTAACTTCGGGCTGTGTTTGCGGAGTAGATTCAATGGTTTCTTCGATAGGAGTAACAGTTGAGTGTTCTTCATTTTGATTGGCTGAGGGAGGATTAGTAAATTCATCAAGTGCTTGTTTGATCAGCTCTATTTGATCTTGATTTGGAGTGAAACGAACCATTTCTATACCATCTATTGCATGAGGGCTTATAGGCGGTAAACGAATTCCTTGTTTTCCTAAAAATTTCATGAAATTAAATGAAATTTCCTTTGACAAATCAAAATACCCATTTTTAACTAATTGTTCGCTTATAGTCTCAACAGCGCGTCTTTTACGAAAATTCCCATAAATTCTCTTTTTATTCTCTTCAAGTCTCATTTCCTCTCGCTCGCGATCCAATTCCTTTTTCCAAGCATCAAGTAAAATTGCATTTATGGCCTCTTCCAATGCCTCTTCTGAGGCAAAAGACAAATCAGGTATCTCGATTCGAACAGATAGAAGTTCCTTTCCATATCGGCGATAAATTGTAATAGATTCTTGTTCTTCGGAATCTCCAAGTAAAGAGAATGAAAACGGATAAATAATGTTTGAAAGTGCAACAGTCCAACTTGAATCTAACTCAAGTGTGTCAGGCATCCTTACTGTAAACTTTGAGGTAGTATTTCCTTCAACATCTTCAGAATTTGAAGGTAAAACAACATAAAATGAATCCATGGTTAATGTCGAACTATGTCGCTGTCGTTTACCCAGCTGTTATGAATATCTTTATAACCAACCCAACGCACAAAGTGTTGCTTTATCCCTGTACGTGTTGTACGTGTCTTTAAAATTTCGGCAATACGATGAGTAGTATCCTCTTGCGTGGGCACCAACTCTTCTCTATAGAATATTCCTTCAATTAGGTTGTCTTCAAAATCCTTTAACCTATATGTTATAGGCGTACGTGCGTCGTTAGTTGTATGTATAAGAAAAAGCTCGTCAGTATAGTTTGGTAAATAACCTTTTTCAAATTTATCCTTTTCTTTTGATATACGGACAACTTGTCCAGGCTCGAGTTTAGAAGTTATTTTTATAGGATCATCAGTGCCCTTATATAGTCTTTCAAATAAATTTTGAGAATTTTTAAAAGTAACAGAATTAGGTGTAACACCTGTAACACGGTTTACGCTTGAATTTATTCCAAAAACTATTTTTTGAATTGCCTCTACCCAACGAAGTGTGTTTTTTTCGCTGAAGTATCGATATAGTCTTTCTTTAATTGTACGATTTGCCCTTTCTGCCATTGAAGCATGAACATCAGGGCTATAAACTACACGCTTGTCAATATCCTTTGTTTTAAAATATTCCTTCATTCTTTTAGCCTCAAATTCTAATCCCCGATCAGTATACAATTTATGAGGCATCATACCTTCTGACATTTTGAAAATTTTTTCAAATGCCTCAATCATATCTTCTGATCTCTTAGTTTTGACAGGCGATGCAAAAATCTTCCGACTGAGAACATCAATACATACTAAAAGGTATCTGTTACTATCGTTATGTTTAGCTATCTGGTCAAATATTGCTAAATCTGCCTGCCAATCTGTATGAAGACCACTTGGACGTGTAACTAGCCTTGGAAAATTTTTTCTGGATGGTCTATGCATCGTATACACTCTTTGCTTATGCAAAAAATTATAAACGTCCTGAAATTTTATCTTTGGATACTTGCGCCTCGCTTCTTCATAAACACGATTTATTCCTGCATACGAAGCAGGAGAATTCGGCGAATAATAAATTTTTGATAAAAAGGTATCTAAAGTTTTTCCCATATTTGAGGAATAAATTTATTTTTCTTTTTTATAGGCAGGACTTTTACCAAGACTCTTTTCTTTCTTTTCCCGCCACCTGATTGACTTACAGAACTTTCTTCGGTACTACTTTCTCCTTGAGTCTCTTTAATCATTTCTTTTACTAATGGGTCTTTGGATAGCCGATTAAATAGAAAACTAAAACCTTTAGGAGGTGATGATATATCCCCTTGAACATATTCGAGGACTTCAGTGAAATTACTATTCTTCACAAGTCTTCCTTTGACATTAGATTCAAAACTTCCATTCTTATGTATTCTAAATTTTTCAGCATTATCACGAACATAATTTTCCAAATCCTCTGAATATTTCTTTGAAATAACACCCTTAAAAGGGGTTGTTTTTCTCCGTTTACTTTTAAATAAGTTTGATTCTGAATCTGTCTGATATTCTGAACTTGATTGTACGGGTTGTAACTGTGTTTTAGGGGTTGCTGTTTCTTTTAGGTAAGGAGCAATTTCTGAAGCTCTAGCTGAATTACCCTCATCGATAATCACCTTTTGAGGCCTATTTTCTAATTCTTGTTTGAGTTGTCTTCTTTTCTTATATAACCATTTATATTTTTGAGCTTTGACATCTTCACTTAAATTCGGATCACTAAGAGTCTGTTTAATTTTTGAGTCTGTCTGTACCTTTTCATTTTGAAGAAAATCTCCGCCTTTGATCATGCCTAATAGTGTAAGATATTCACTTTCAGGAACCATAATCATTTTCTTTGTATGTTTCATTCTTGTGTGAATCTGTGAATGATATGTTCAGCTAAGGCTCCCAGGACAGGTACAAGTATAGCAGCTAGAGCGGCACTACCTCCTTGTTGTATTCGATTTCTAGCGCTTTTTTCAGTACGTGTTCGTGCGATAGCTCTATAGAAATCAGCAAATTGTGCTAACTTCTTGCGCTGTCGTCTATTTAATATAAAATTATTTTTTAAAATATTAGCACAGATTTCAACTATTGCTAATATTTGATCCGCACTGGCTGAAAGAATTAAGGCGTTTTTCTTTTTATCGGAAGATGTTTTAGCTAAACGCTGTAAGAATTCAAAATTTTCTTTAACGTATGGACTATAGTCATACATTTTTTTATAAATAATAGTTTTAAGATCGCTTATATATTATAGAGGCAAATATATAGTCTGTTTTTCACCTGGAAATATTTTAGTGGAAAGACGCAGATTCTCTTCTGTACTTGGATGCATATTAATTAGTAAATAGGAAAATTGTTCGGAAGTAGCATCGCGATAAGCCTCAAGAAAATAGTTAAGCATTTTTGGAAAAAGCTGAGACCCTAGTGTACGTACCTGTAGTAGTCCTTGAGGATTTTTGGTTAAAAGAATATAATGGGCGTTTGCACGTGCAGTCCGGATATCGCGTCCATAAAGTGATTGTGTTACAAAGATTACGCTTACACCCCAATTATGCGATCCTCGAGTGAATAGTAAATCAAGAAATTCTGCAGGAATATTTAGCATTAAGTCATCTAGGACTAATAATTGGTGATGTTTAATCTTCTCGACTTCAGGAACCCCATTATAAGTTGTAATTCCCATTTCCTTTAATTTAAATATATTTTCGTTCATTTCGCCATAGCAATATAATATTTTATTTGGCGGAGGGTCAATTAATTTATCACAATTTGCTAGATATTTCATTAGCCACAGGGTTTTCCCGCTGCCTGTGGCACCGGAAATAACCATCGTAAAAGGAGCTTTAAACATTTTTTGCTCTGTAGAAAAATTTGTTTTCATTTATATATTACAGATGATCCCCAAAGCAATTATTCAAAATGTTGTATCTACAGCACAACTGCTTGATAAAAATGGTAAACTTGATCTTTATAATCTTGCGGCAACTATTAACAATTCTAAATATTCTCCTGAACGATTCTCAGCACTTATAATTAGAATTCAACAACCAATTAGATCAACAGCTTTAGTATTTTCTAACGGAAGAATTGTATGTGTTGGAACAAAATCGGTTAGGGACTCGGAAATTTCGGTTGGATATTTTGTTGACATCATATCATCTGCAAGTTCCTTACCAATAAGGATGCGAGGATTTAAGATACAAAATGTTGTATCCACATTTGCTTTTCCTGGACATATTAATTTACCAGGTAACTTTTTTACAACATAAAATTATTGTTTAAGCCTTATACGACACCATGAGAATTGCACCTCCAACATGGCTCGCTAAACATATTTCTTACAACCCAGAATTTTTTCCGGGCATGTGCTTACGACTTGTTGATTTTCGCACAGTTGTTTTGGTTTTTACAACAGGAAAGTGTATTATTACAGGAGCACGAACAGAGGAAGAAATTTTTATTGTTCAAAATAAAATATACAATTCGATTTTAATGTTTTGTAAGTATCAATAAATACTTGAGTTGATCTCGCTTCTTAATTCCATCAAGAGTTTTCCAAAATAATTTTCGCCTTCCCATTGGCTAGGATCTTTAAGTCTTGCACTTTTTGGACATACGCCGTTGCTCCAATAAAGTTCTGATGCGGACGCCTGCGCAATAAGTCCATCGCCTGTGGCACGTAACTGGTTGAATAGTTGCATGTTTTGGGTAAATTTTGCCCATAGTCCTGTGTACATAACCTATAATTTATGATGAAATTATAAATAATATTTTTTACTTTGTTGCGAACAGTGGTCCACTTTATTTGATTATATCCGCGGATACGTTTCCCAATTCTTCGAATAGCTATAGGATTATCTAGCATTAATACTTCTGAAGCAATTTCCAAATCCCCGAAGAAACGTGCTTTCTGCCAAATGAAAAATTGTTCAACTGAACTAAATGTTTTCCCAAGTAGTGTGAAACTCGATCTAAACCGGTTGTCAAAGCCAAAATGTTGAGAATAAAATATGAATATATTTTGTTGTTGTTCTCCAACAATTTCTATAGGTGGATGCGAGTTCGCAGTAATTTTTATTTTAAGTCGTTCTAATAAACAAGTTGTATTATCTAAAAATATATATATTTGAAGTAATTTAAAAAATTAACCTATATTGATATCACTGATCATATTGCTAAAACTATTTGAAACAACAAAATAAGAATTTATAAAAGATATATTGTATAAAACAAATTTGAAACAAAATTTTTTATGAAAAAATATTTATACGAAATAATCATTTTGTTGGATCATTAATAGGCTCTCCTCGATATCCATAGGGATAACAATCGAAATTTGCATCTACAAATCCTTTGTCATAGATTGGTGTGTAGCGTCTAAATAGATTTCATATTTTTAAATAATAACCAAATACCTTATTTGAGTTCGACTTATAACTTGTCCTTTGCGCCAGCTCGGTTGGAAATGTGTTCTCTGCAATACCACAGGATCTTGTTCCTCCCCATATGCTTCTACCATTTTCTGTAAATGAATTATAAAATTAAAA